TATCCATATTGCAAGTACCAGGTTGCAACTCTTCCCTAAATACAACCTGCTAGGTGATATTATTCAGGTGGCTCTGACTATATGGCTATTGCTCATATAGAGTTTGTAACTCTAGACCTGTTCTCTCCCTCAAACTTCAGAGACATAAATTCTGCCTCTTACTAAAGGTCTCTAACTGGGTACCAGAAAGCATCTCAAGTCTCAGCAGATCTAACATAGAACTCTTAATTGTTTCCTCTCCCAACCTGTTCCTCTCTCATTTTTCTCTATCTGATCAGTTGCTCATCAAAAATATCAAAGTCCATGGCTATCACCAGCTCACACCCAATCAGCAAGTTCACACCCAATCAGCAAGTTCAATGACATGGGACTCTCCATTCAAAATGTATCCAAAACCTGTCCACTTCTAATCATATCAATTGTTACTCTTTAATTCAAGTCATCTTTTCTGGACCACTGCAACCTTCCCCTACTCACCTGCCCACAGACTACTGTGCCTTGTTTCTATCCTTGTCCCCACTCTTTACACAGCAACCTGCATGATTACCACATATAACATTGTATCCCTTCCAAGCTTTTCTTCTCAAGGATTACAGACTCTGCATGATCTAGCCTAAGTCTACCTCTCCCATTTTCTAGCTCAGTTGTCTTCATTGTTTTTTCTCACCAGTCCCTTAAGAGTGACTTTAAAACTATGTAAGATGATATATTCCATTGTATACTTTAAGGTTGGCATCTAAAACTTTTATGGTATATTCAAATAATTGTAAAGAGTATGATTCTACCATATTGTGTATTTTACACATACTTTACATATTTCTTGACAAGGTTTTGGAGCTGCACATGCAGCTCATTCAATTCTCATTCAGTTTATGGGAAGAATCCATAACATAATCTAATTAACAAAACTGGTCTCCACTGACAAACCAATTCAACCAATGAGATTCACTTTACAAGAGTTTTCAATTAAAATAAATCTAATAATATATATCATGAAAATAATCCCATTTGTGAATTTTAATACTAAAATAAACATTAATATCACAGATGGGTGGATAGATGAATGGATGGTTGTTGAGATAGAAAGAGAGAGAAAGAAAGAAGGAGGGAAAGATTGGTGGAATGATAGAACACTGAGGTTTGTCTTGAATTTGTCCTCTGAGTGATATAAGATGCAATTACTTGGTATATTTCTTTTTCAATTTCTCCTTGTTTTCCAAGAAATTCTCCTGTAGCAGCTGTGAATTCTTTACTTGGTTCCTTCGAAACCCTGGAGGGTTTGCACTTTAGGGCCATGCACATATCATTACATAGTCAAAATTCAGCATGGGTGAAAAGTTTGTTTTTCCTCTGTAAAATGGGAGCGGGGCTGGGATAATTAAGTAGATCGTCTTTTAGAAAAGAATGCACTGAGAATTTCATATCTAAAAATCAATTCCTTTAAAGCTAACCAGGTACAGGCATCTTACTGAAAGCCTTTGTTTCCTTAGGAGTGTGTCCAACCCAGTTTGAAGCCTGCTACTGAAGCTTCTGCTATTGTAAAGACGTCAGCTGGTGCTGCATTATCTGAGGGTTTGACTGGGGCTGGAAGATCCACTTCCAAGTAGACTACTCACAAGGTTTTGGCAGGAAGCCTCAGCAACTCACTGGCTGTTGGCAGAAGGACTCAGTTCCTCATTCCATGGGCTGGTCCATCGGGCTTCTTGGTGTCCTCATGACAGGGCAGTGGCTTCTCTTACAAGAAGTAATTTAAGAAAGAGCAAGACAGAAGCTGCAGTGTCTTCTATAAGTTAGCTTGGGAAGTCATATTCTGTCTTTTCCACAATATCCCTATTTGCTATGGAAGGGGATCACACAAGTGCATAAATACCATCTTCAAAGCTGACACACACACACACACACACACACACACACACATAATGGTTGTTCAATGAATATATTTTGAACTAATAAATTGTGTTTTAATTTTATAATGTAACTCCTATAGAGCCATCTTGTTTCTAAATGTTTGGGGAAGAATCTCACTCTCCCACCACTACCCCCTAAACCCCACCAGGACAGCCTACAAGGCATATCTTATTTCATTTTTCAAATAAAATGTAAAAAACAGCAATCCAGGAATGATGCCACGACTGTATTTTCATACACATTTGACTTATAAGTACTATTGGATAAAATATTTTAAATTAGCATTTCAGAAAACATGGGCATTGTGGTTGCTTTACATGTTAGGTGACTCTACTAAAAACAATATTCAATTCCTTCCATCTACACAGGACTTCCTAGTTTGCAAAGCATTTCTACATATATGACCTCATCTGAACTCATAAAAAACTCTGAAAAGAAGACAGGGTAGATTTCATTCCAACTTAATTGATGAGGACACCAAACCAGGTCCCAGTTTTAATAAGAGGCAGATCCAGGAGCAGANTGTGCCTCAATATATTAAGCTAATTCCCTATTTTTTTCATTTATTATGTTTTCAACATTCTTCTACACAAGACAATGATGACTATAGCTTGAAGTTTAACATATTCTTAATTTTCTTCTGATTCTTGCCCTATTATTATTATTATTTTTAAAATTTTTTATTAAGGTAATATTGATATACACTCTTATGAAGCTTTCATATGAGAAAACAATGTGTTTACTACATTTACCCGTATTATCAAGTCCCCTCCCATACCCCAATGCAGGCACTGTGCATCAGTGTAGTAACATGCCACAGATTCACTGTTTGCCTTCTCTGTGCTACATTGTTTTCTCTGTGACCCGCCCACACCATATGTACTAAACATAATACCCCCGAATCCCCTTCTCCTTCCCTCCCCACCTGCCCTCCCCCACCACTCCCCTTTGGTAACTGCTAGTACCTTCTTGGAGTCTGTGAGTCTGCTTCTATTTTGTTCCTTCAGTTTTGCTTCATTGTTATACTTCACAAATGAGGGAAATCACTTGGTATTTGTCTTTCTCTGCCTGACTTACTTCACTGAACATAACACCTTATAGCTCCATCCATGTTGTTGCAAGTGGCAGGATTTGTTTCTTTCTTATGGCTGATTAGTATTCCACTGGGAATATGTACCACATTTTCTTTAATACATTCATCTACCGATGGACACTTAGGTTGCTCCCATTTCTTGGCTACTGTAAATAGTGCTGCAATAAACATAGGGGTACATATCTCTTTTTTGAATCTGAGGAATTATATGGTGGATTGACTTTTGAAGGCATCTGCCCTTCATACAGCAATTTTGTGATCCACCCTCTTATAGTTTTCCCCTGACCCCATTGGTTGCTACTCAGGGAAGAGGGCTTGTAATGAAAACCAAATGCTTTGGCCTAGAAATGAAATGCATCCCTTCCCCTCATAGCCTGTGGGTTAGAAATAGTCATATAGCCCTGCCTGACTGCAAGGGGACAAAGAAGTACAAGTTTTCTGTGGGCCCAGGGCATGGTGAACACTAAAATTCTCCATCATATATAATCTGTGAAGAATAAATACAATTTGTAGAAGTAGGAGGAGGTCCCTTGAGAATACTTATGAAAATTGTGCAAAGGAACACACACAGAACACCTAATCTTTTTGACAGTCCAGTGCCGGGTTCTCTCATATACATTTTTATTACTTGATTCTTACTTATCCCTGTAAGGTAGATATTATCCCCTTTTAATGGTTTAGGACTCTGAAGCTCATGGAGGTTACATAACTTGCCCGCAAGCTCATACTAATACGTAGAGGGGAGTCTAACTCCCTTACTCTTCCTTTTCTCCATCTCTCAATTTCTTATCATGATCTCTTTTCATCCCATAAAGGATTTATTTTTATAAGGCCACTGGAGTGGGATACACACAAGTTGGCAGTTCTACTGGCACTGTTTCATTTCTCGAGCTGTGTGGTAAGCACACAGAAGTGCATGTATAGTTTTTTATATTTTTTATGTCTTAAATATTTCAAAATACATTAATTTTTTTTTAAAAAAAGATGGGGAGATAGATTCTGAGAATCAATGACAGGTTCTTATCTTGAAAACAGCATTTTCTATGAATATTAGCAGACAGAAGGGAGGAAATACAGTATTATTAACATTTATTGAGCACATACTATCCCCAGATAGTTTCAAATAATTTTTTTACATGTGCTAACTTGGCTCACTATTCCAACAACCCTGTGAGGCAATACTATTATTATCCCCATCTTACTATGAGATTAAAATTGAAGAAAGTCAGATTAAATTATTTAAAGTCATGTAATTTATAAAAGGAAATAAACTGGATTTGAATGAAGCACCCTGGTTTCAGGATATGTACACATAAAAACCACCAACCTATATACATTCGCTAGATGAACTAGATAAGCTGAATTTGCAGAGGTGTGTGAAAATCTTTTGTATATCTCCTGGGAAGTGCCTGTAACATTCCCTAGACCTTTGTGGCCAATAAAACAGGGAATTCAAAATAGTTTTCTTATGATGGTGTTGGCAGCAGTTTCAAAGAAATATTTATTACATGGGCTGGACTCCCTTAGACCAAGTGATAATACAGGGTTCTACCTATGACGGAAACTTCCTTGGCCAGGACGGTGGAGTTGGGGATGGTTTAGGATCCCGAAAGTTGCGCGCTGTAGCACAGTTGGGGTTTTCTCCGGCTGGGATAAGGAAACTATAAAAACAAAGTTTGTGTTACTGCTGATTATGCACTTCACCAGATCACAGTTGCACCGGGACAGATCTTCTCATAGCTATAGCTCTTACTGCAGTTTACATAGACACAGACAAACTGTTCAGGACTGCAGTGTATGATGGATTCCCAGGTGGGATACCGAACCGAGAGGGGAAGGAAGCCCAGCGGGAGCGTGCTGGATTGACAGCTGGACCTGTCCTGCGCCCGCGCCCCAGTGCGCGAGCCCGAGGAGGACCGCCGCCAGGGGGCGCGCAGGCCCGCGCGGCCACTCTGTCTCCTCCTCCGCCCGCTCCCGCCCCTTGCTCCCCAGGGCGGGCAGAGGAGGCGGAAGTAGGGTCCTCCGCGGCTGGGGCTGGCAGTCCGGGCGGCCCCCGGGACGCAGCAACAGCGGCCTACGGGGGCCGGGAGGTAGGCTTCCGGGCTGCCTGGGCTCAGAGCGCGGTGCAGGACTTCTCCCGGCGTCGTGCCGAGCGGAGTCTTGCGGCCGGGTGGAGTCGGCGGCCCAGCGGACGAGAGCGGTAAGTTTCCTTCCGAGGTCTTGTGCCTGTGGCCGCGGCCTCTCTTCTCAGAGGCTGGGGACGCCGCCCCCTGCCCCCCGGCTTCCCGCAGGCTGGGGGCGCCGGCCCTCCCCTCTGTTTCCTACCCGCTGGAACCTCCCTCCCGCTCGCCGTCGCCCCGGTGGGAACCCCGCGCCAGCGTCCTCAGCCTACCTGCCCTCACACGCATAGTCGCGTTTCCAGAAAAGGAAACTGCCTCTTGGATTTTCTCGTCCCTCGGAACTGTTACCAGCTTTAAAAATTTTTTTTTAATAAAATCCTTTTTACGTTTCCACCGACTCCTACAGTCGCTGTTAGGAGAACGCTATTTTTAGGTTCACTGTTGAAGTCGATAGAGGTCCCAGGCAGCAACTTTTTAAAAAAGGTTCGGATGACAAGAATGTTTCTCCCCCGCCCCTGCACTAAGTGGTTCTACGATTGTTCCAGACTCTGGGTTGACAAAGCTGTTCCTAGTTATTTGGCTTTAGGGGAACTCCGGATGAGAGTAAGGACTATCTTGAATTGTGAACAGAAAGCACCTAAAGTATTAGCAGCTTGAATATATAGTATTTGTAGTTTCTCGGTAGAGCAAGTTTAAATGTCTTTCTACAGAGGCATAGAAACGAGAAGAACTTGTGGAGTTCTGAGTGTTGGCCTTGTGAACCTGGCCGCTCGCATTTTATCCATTCCCCTGTAAATAGTAGAGAGGGTAGAAGGGGTTTTTTTTTGACTTGAGGTTGGAGGTGGGCTAAACACAGTGTGGCCACTTTTGTGACTTAAGGAAGAAACGTGTTTAAGGCAGTTGTTGCCCGTGTGATGATCAGCTATATACTTCGCAGTATTTCAGCATTGTGACTTGAAATCTTTACTGTTATAAATTTGGATATGTGATGCTGATAAATATGTTGCTATTTGGATTCAGAAAGGTGTTCAAATCTTTGTCTCCTGGAGGACAACAAAAAGTGCCTAGGAAGGGGAATTTTAATTTGTTTCAAAATTAAGACGTAACAGTGGACTATTTGGCTGCCCTTTTTGGCCATTGCAACGTATTTGCAGGTCTTTGCATTTTTTGAATAGATTTTAAGGAGTTGATAATGGTTTCCTGTTTCTAGAGCTAGTAGCAAATTAAAGGTAATTTCTCAGTATTTTGTTTTGAATGGTTTGCTATATATGAGTTATATGTTCAGCTGTGAATGAATTTCTGTTGACCTAAAATTGACCAGTTCAGGTCATAACTTGTGCATTTACTTGGGACATTTTTCTCTTTAACATCTGTTATTTTAGAGGGCCAAATTTTTGTGCATCACCCTATTCCCTCTTCCCCAAGATATTTAATAGTAACTTCGGATTATAATATATACCCAGATACTAATATGTGGATTTAAGCCATGATTTATGACAAGGGTATAGTCAATATTTATTTTTCAGTCAAAATAAGTTGACAATGGTTACATCCCAAAATATTTAATTAAGGCAGTGCTTTGTTTAGAAATAACAGAAATAAAACCAATGAATCACCAAAAAAGTAAATATAAAAGTTAAATGCTCACACACCATAAAAAAGACAGTTTGCAGACTGGGTGGGTTCAAACCAAAACATGGGATGAGGCTCACGGGTATATAATATAAGGCAGCTTATGTAGTGTGAAAGCAGTGACTGTTCATTCTTCACAGTGATAGGGTAGAATATTAGAATTTTCTTAAATGATAGGGAGTTGGTCAGTGGTTACTTCATCTTGATCTTGGGAAACAGATGAGGTTTTGCTTGTGATTTCCAGAGGTATAAGCAAGAAATGACCCAGATCAAGGTAGCACAATAAGCTGAATTAAGCTTTACCTGTATGACTAAACTGGTTTTGTCTGCTCAGGGAATTTTCAAGATTGGTCTCTGTTTTTTATTTTAACTTCTTACTATACTAGATTCACAACTCCAAAAGGGAATTGCAATTATGAAGTTCTTAACCTACAAGCCAAGGAACAACTTAAACTTTGTTCCATCACTTCTCTTAATCCATGTAAAAAGCCACATAAATTCTGAATGTCAGAGTAGAATAGAAGCTATAAGAAATCTTTATTTTACAGATAAGAATATCTATTAACACTTAACTTATTTTAGCTTATGGAAAGCCAACATTCTATCCCAAGCCTACTCTTATAGCATCTCATGAAGTGAATACTGTGGCACCATATGAGATCAAAAAGAATCCTAAGAGAGCATAATATTTTCTACATTGGTGCCAGATATCTTCTATAGTTGACTCAAATTACTTCTGATTCTTCTTAGTGTTAATTAAAATAGCTACTCATTGCAGTTAGAAAAGTGATTTTCACTAAGTTAAGTCATCACAATCCCAAAGAGTAAAGGGAAAAATGTTTTAGCTTGCCAAAAAGAAAGAGTAAACATAAAAATACTGAATGGCAACCAAAATACTGTTTTTAGCTTAATTTTCCCTTTGCAGTGTAGTAAAATGGAACTATACTCAGCAGAGAGCCATTATCTGAACAAGTTTATTCGGAGGATAAAAAGGTTCTGTATTACTACTTAAAGCAAGAAAAGTACTGTGAGAATTGAGGGCATCTAGGTGTTTTTTTTTTTTGGTATTATTAATATGCAATCACATGAGCAACATTGTGGTTACTAGATTCCCCCCATTATCAAGTCACCGCCCCATACCCCATTATAGTCACTGTCCATCAGCATAATAAAATGCTATAGAGTCACTACTTGTCTTCTCTGTGCTATACTGCCTTCCCTGTGCCCCACCATTATGTGTGCTGTGTGCTAATCATAATGCCTCTTATTCCCCTCCTCCCTCCCTTCCCACCCACCCTCCCCAGGCACTTTCTCTTTGGCAACTATTAGTCCATTCTTGGGTTCTGTGAATCTGCTGCTGTTTTGTTCCTTCTGTTTTTGCTTTGTTCTTAATGCTCCACAAATGAATGAAATTATTTGGTGCTTGTCTTTCTCCACCTGGCTTATTTCACTGAGCATAATACCTCTAGCTCCATCCATGTTGTTGCAAATGATAGGATTTGTTTTCTTCTTATGGCTCAATAATATTCCATTGTGTATATGTACCACATCTTCTTTATTCATTCATCTACTGATGGACACTTAGGTTGCTTCCATTTCTTGGCTATTGTGAATAGTGCTGTGATAGACATAAGGGTGCATATGTCTTTTTGAAACTGGATTCTGCATTCTTAGGGTAAATTCTTAGGAGTGGAAATCCTGGGTCAAATGGTATTTCTATTTTTAGTTTTTCAGGAACCTCCATATAGCTTTCCACAGTGGCTGAACTAGTTTACATTCCCACCAACAGCGTAGGAGGGTTCCCCTTTCTCCACATTCTCGCCAGCATTTGTTGTTCCTAGTCTTTTCTATGTTGGCCATCCTAACTGGTGTGAGGTGATATCTCATTGTGGTTTTAATTTGCATTTCCCTGATAATTAGTGATGTGGAGCATCTTTTCATGTGCCTGGTGGCCATCTGAATTTCTTCTTTGGAGAAGTGTCTGTTCATATCCTCTGCCCATTTTTTAATAGGGTTATTTGCTTTTTGGTTGTTGAGGCATGTGAGTTCTTTATGTATTTTGGATGTTGACCCCTTGTGGGATATATCATTTACAAATATATTCTCCCATACTATAGGATGCCTTTTTGTTCTGCTGATAGTGTCTTTTGCTGTACAGAAGCTTTTTAGCATGATGTAGTCCCATTTGTTCATTTTTTATTTTGTTTCCCTTGCCCAAGAAGATGCATTCAGGAAAAAGTTGCTCATGTTTATGTTCAAGAGATTTTTGTCTATATTTTCTTATAAGAGTTTTATGGTTTCATGACTTATATTTAGGTCTTTGATCCATTTTGAGTGTATTTTTTGTATGGGTTTAAACAATAATCCATTTTCATTCTCTTGCATGTAGCTATCCAGTTTTGCCAGAGGGCATCTAGGTTTTTAAGAGCACTTACTTTTATGTCTTATAGTGCATCCCTGCAGTGGAATTCCTTTTAAAGAATTGTGACTGATTAGACAGGTTTTCTTAGGAACACATTTGATGTAAAAGGTCTCTTTCAAATATCTAAAGACCTTCAAGTCTGTTGACCTGTATGGTATATATAGACTATCCAATAAGTTGAATTTTAACTGGACATGTGGGCAGAAAAAGTAGACTTGGCTCATTAACTTTTGTCTTTTCCTTCTGAGTAGCACCTTTGTATGTGTTGTTCAACAAATAACAAATACTAATTTCTCAAAAGTGGTTTTACTTTTAAAAAATAAAATGATTTAAGATTCAGAAGATAAATATCCCCGGAGTTGTCAAGGATATATAGAGTGGGCTTTCTCATGCTTACTCTGTTTTTGGATGTGGGCGTTAAAAAAAGCTTTTGATACGTATTAGATAAGCAGCATTATCTGTCAGAAACCTCGAAAAGTTGCATACCCTTTGATCTAATAATTCTACTTCTAGGAAATATACCTAAGGAAGGAATTGGAAATTAAAAAAATGTGTCTGGGAAGAAAAATGACAAAGGATATAAACCCTAGTGTACCTAACAGTGTCATCTCTCAGATTTGGAGAGTATAATAGGGGCCTTATACCCTATCCTGGAGTGCATGTGTAATGAATGGCTAGTTCCACCACCTCTGTCTGGCCATCTCTTCCTCCCTCTCAGTTTGTACCAAATCCTCCATAAAAATCTGCCTTGGCTTTAATAAGGCTTTGGGAGTGTTTCTAACTTTTCAAAAATACTACATTGAAACTGGAAAAGTAAGAAATAAAATACCCATTTTCATTACTGATTCTGTCAATGCAGCATCATAACACAGGACAGCTCATGTTTAACAGAAGCTGTGTTCAGCACCTTAGTCTGGTGTGATAAAAATAAAGGGAAAGAAATTTCAAATGCAGCTTTATTGACAAATTGATTAAAACACAAAAAGACGAACATAGCGCAGTACAAAGTGTCCAGGCTCATGGGTCAAGTAGACTTAGGTTTTGATCCCAATTCCATTACTTATTTGTTGGGCAGTCCTTGGCAAGGTACTTAACCTTTTTTAAGCTCCATAGTTTCTACTTACATAAAGGGGACATAGTAAAATTATTAACTAAAATCACTGTATTGAGCTGCACATAATAACAACCCATTCTTACTTGCAGGCATTGTTCTAAGTGCTTTTTACATGTTACCATGTTACCACATTTAATCCTCTAAGTAAATTCTGAGGTGGATTCTGATAGTATCCCTAATTATAGATGAGGAAACAAGCATAGAAAGGTTATATAACTTGCCTAAGTCATACACACCAAGTGGTGAAGAAAAGAGGTAAACCCGAATCATTGATTCCAGTGCCGAGCTCTTCACCTCTTCGTGTATTGCCCTTTCCAGCCAGACAGTGCCTCATCCTTTCTAGTGCTTCTCAAGTGGTACTCCAGCTCTTTTGGAGACGAAGAGAAAGATACCTGTAGTGATGAAAAGACACAGAATTACTGTCTTAATCCACTGTTTGGCATAGTGGAAGAGAAAGATACCTGTAGTGATGAAAAGACACAGAATTACTGTCTTAATCCACTGTTTGGCATAGTGGAAGCCAGGATTGTCATAAAAAATAAGACAGGCAGGAGGATAATTGTCTACCATATTGACTGGAAGCTTGCATTCTGTTTCTGAAATTCTATCTGGCACATATTAGGAATTTTCCTCAGGGATAATTATGTACAACAGGCACCTGGTTACACAGGCTGTGAGTTGCTTTCAGCCATTAGCTTCTAACCCGTAAATATTGGTTTAGAATTTGAAGGTATCCTATCCTATGAAATTCCACAGGATCCAAAGGGATCACTCACCGTGAAAGCAGTAGTTTTCCACAGGCAAGTGAAACCTCACTTGTTTTTCCAGTCATTAATAATGAAACATAGTCACTTGACCTGACTGAAGGCAAAGGGCATACAAATAACAACTTTTCAATTCCATTCTTTCTACATAATCAAAATTCCCACACTGAGCATTTCGAAGTACTTAGAGAATTTTAGACCTAGAGGAAACCAAGATACAAATGGTTAAGTTACCCAGAATCACACCCGATTGCCTTGTGCTTTGCTCTTCCTTGCATTGCCTCTGGTCATCCTGTGCTCTTCAGCTCAGGATACTTGAAGGAACTTCAGCAACACAAGGAAGTTCTTCGGCAGAGGCTTAGTGAACACTTACTATCTGAAAGGTCTTATGCTAAGTACTGAGGATATGAAAGTTAAATTCTTGACTTCAGTTACAGGAAGCAGACATACACTGATAATTACAATATAACTAAGCATTACAACTGGGGTGCTTTTTTTCTTTTACCCTTATGTCTGTCTTTCTTCTAGATCATGAACTCTAACTTACTATAAAATAGTAATCATGAAGCAAAGTTCGAAAAACTTTGTGTTTTTTATAAGTAATATTAACACAGCTAATATATAGCATTAAAAGGTAGCTTGCATAGATAAGCTATGATATATATGTGTATGTAAGTATATGCATGTTAAGACACTTCTTTGTATTGCTAATTCTAGAGGACTGTTGCTAATCACGTTACTATGAGTCTGCTAAACTGTGAAAACAGCTGTGGATCCAGCCAGTCTGAAGGTGACTGCTGTGCAGCCATGGCCAGCTCCTGTAGCACTGCAGCAAAAGACGACAGTGTGAGTGGAACTGCCAGCACAGGGAACCTCTCCAGCTCTTTTGTAGAAGAGATCCAGGGGTATGATGTGGAGTTTGACCCACCCCTGGAAAGCAAGTATGAATGCCCCATCTGCTTGATGGCGTTACGGGAAGCAGTGCAAACACCCTGTGGCCACAGGTTCTGCAAAGCCTGTATCATCAAATCAATAAGGTATGTGAACATAAGAAAGATCTGTGTCCTAACAGAACCAAATTTGGAGCACATTGTTATATAAAACACAATTATCCCACGCGTAGTCTTATACCTAAAAAAGCTGCTTAGGGAAAAAGGATAATGGATAGAAAATTGAGGGATTTAGATTCTTTTTCCAGTTCTTACTGTGGTATGAAGGATAACTACTATCTTATCCCTCTCCTGAGCCTCAGATAAATAAATAAGTAAATAAATAGCTGCTTCTATTTAAAGGAATTCTATTGCAGACTAGGGGGTAAGTCTCTATGCTTTAAGAATATAATATAAAATAAGTGCACTTTAAATAATGATGTGACTAGAATATGATAATCTCAACCATGTAAAGGATCTTCACTGTGTAAATGATCAGTTATTCTAATTAAATTTTACCTGCTACCTAATAGCTGGACAAAATGTAAAATAACCAGTATTTTTAAAGAAAATATTAATTGATGGCTCTGTCTTCATAATACATCCAAAATAAATCCCCTTCACTGCTAACTGAATCACCATCAGCTCTCAGTCCTCCCTATTCTACCCTTGCCTTCCTCCAGACTGTTCTCAGTACTAACAGTGAACCTAATAAGATGATGTCATCTCTGCTCAGAATATTGCAGCAGATCATCTGGGAGTAAAATCCAGTGTCCTTGTAAGGCCTCTGTATGATAGAACCATAATCCATTTTCTGATCTCCTCTCTGCTCTGCTGACTTCCTTCCACCAGTTTACTCTGCTGCTGCTTGAACATGTCAAGCCTGCTCCTGCCTTGGGGAATTGGCTATAGCCGTTCTCTGCTTAGGACACGCTTACTTCAGTTAACTGCCTAGCTAATGCTCTTCACTCCCTCCATTATGGCTCAAATCTGACTTTCTCATAGGTACCTGGGCTACCTAATTTATACCACAGCTTGCCTACCTCCCCTCACACTTCCTATCTTTCTTACCTACTTTACCTATTTTCCTTAGCACTTTTCACCTTCTAAAATACCAGATAATGTCTATTGTCTGCTTGCCCACTGGTAGAGAAACTACTTGAGAACAGGGGTTGAGATCTGTTGTATTTCTTGATATTTCCCAGGTTCTAGGAACAGTGCCTGACACACAGTAGATGCTCAGTAAATCCTGGTTGCTTTAACTGAATGAAGATATATGAGATTTCCCCAAATGATTCAAATTCATCTCATAAGAAATAGATACATTTTACTATTATTCAAAAGTGTATAGGAATATTTTTAGGTGACTGAGGAATTCTATATAGAACAAAAATATGGAAGAAATGGGGGAATTTTATGTTCTTCAATAAATTAGCATGTAACTATACTGGTGAAATCTTAAGTAGGGTAAGCTAGCTATTCACTGGTCTTGTAAGATTTTCTCTTTCAACTTTTAAATTAACTTTTCTATGAAACTTGAATTTAGGGTAACTACATCCATACTTGGGACTTGGCCTATTTTAAGTTACAAGCAAGCAGGTGTTGCATTTCAATTTTTGGAAAAAATGTGTTACTCAGTGTTGAATTGGCAAGATCTGTTTAGGGTAGGTTTTCTCAGCCTCCTTGCTACTGGCATTTTGAGCCAGACATGTCCTGTGTGTTGTAGGATGACTTAACAGCATCCCTGACCTCTGCTCACCAGATGCTGTAGTATGTAGTATCCCCTTCTCCCCATGTTGTGTGACCTGGAGTGTCTCCAGGCATGGTCAGATGTTCCTGGGGAGACAGAATTGCCCCAGTCAAGACCATTGATTTAGGGTATACATGAGAACAGTGTTAAAGGTTCAGCTTTTTTTCTGTTTATAATGGTTTTATTTATATTTAGGTAAAAGTAGTACCATATTACTAATCATTGATACACAGTATTTTACAAATTGTCATCCATGCCCAGGAAGATAGCTAATCTTTAGCAATTTTTTAATAGCAAGATACTCGTGAAAGTAGTGGGACAGTGGTCTGAAAAGGAAGTAAAACGCATAAAAGGAAGTCTGAGGCTTTTTTTCCCTATTCCCCTCTCTAAGCCAGAAACGACACTTATTTTGACGATGTTCTTAAAAGAATAAAATTTCTCATCCATTATAGTATTTCACGGAATCAAACGCATCCCAGTCTAATTCCATTTTCTTTTGGAGTGATTGCTAATGTTCTGAATGGTTTCCAGTTTACTTTGTAAGGGTCGTCATATTTTCTCTTAGATATCCATCGCTTAGATTTTGAGTATACATATATTGTATAAATTTGTTTGTTGCTTTCTATGCTTCTTAGAAAATATTTGACAGTGTAATAGCATTGTGCATTTCAGAGAGGCCCCATAAAGATTGATTCTGTCTCTCACCTTTATTAGCTCTAAGACATTTGATAGCAGACCCTATTTTTCCACACCTTTTACCTACCACAGCAACTAGCCCTGTCAGTTTACATATGGGAGGTACTCAACAAATGTTTGAGTGATTGATTAATGATCCTGTAGCCTGCCTGACCTACCACATTTTGGAGTGAAGATTGAAATATCCAAAAAGTTAAGTGGGAATGAGAGACACCCAAGCATCCTGGGGATGATTTTTCCCACTATAAGACAGAATAAACTACTGGAAAGCAGAACATAGAGGTCCTTTAACTCCCTTCTACATTGTACAGTAGATATAAAGGAGACCTTCTGTTACCCATGAGTCAGTGTTGTAATGACTTTCAGAGTGCACCTTAAAATGTGCCCTCGTAGGGATACTGCTAATTGGTTTAATTTTTACTTATGATTGACCAGTACAATGTAGCATGTTATTAGTATTATACACAGCATATTTAGTTCCATCTCACTAGTATGTTGTTGTGTAGCTGCTAACAGAGCATAGGCCTGCCAGATTGCCAGAATTCCCATCCTTAACTTTTACTTCATTTTATGCCAATCAAAATATAATTTTATTCAAATAATTTTTCTCATTTTTTGGTTAGAGTGCCACAGTCTAAACTCCCATAGTTTTTAATAGGTAATGAATATGGTTCTGGTTGTATTCATTTTATAAGAGGATAGTTTATTTTGGTGATAGTATGCAATGTATAATGTGTTAAATTATTTTCCATTGGAAATAACAAATGGAGAATTTATATGTGGTAAATTAAAGTTTATATATTCTAATGTGAAGCTGTATGTAACTCTTTGTTTCCTTTAGGGATGCAGGTCACAAATGTCCAGTTGACAATGAAATACTGCTGGAAAATCAACTATTTCCTGACAACTTTGCAAAACGAGAGATTCTTTCTCTGATGGTGAAGTGTCCAAATGAAGGTTGTTTGCACAAGATGGAGCTGAGGCATCTTGAGGTATGAAAATTACTCTATCCGTTAGCATATATGCAAGGTAGTTCCTAGAGAATAGGGACTTTGCTCTGTCCGTCTGTGTATTCCTAGTGCCTAGCATATGATAATTGATTAGTAAATTCTTGTTGAATCAATACCAATCCTTTCTTTATTGAATATAAATATCAAATACAAACTAGACATTACTTATCCGTCTACTCTGGCTTAGCCCCAGTGATGATAATAAAGAAATCGGTATGCTTCTACAATTTTTTTAGGTGAACATTGTCTGAAGAAAACTGAAGAGCATTTTAAATACAGATATCACATGTCAGTCCCATAGCTTTGTTTTTCTCACTCTAAAATAAGCAGCAATTCCCATGTAGCCTCATTTTAATACCCTCATTGTACTTCTTCCTGTTTTCTAAATTGTGTGTTTTATTATGAACTGAATGGAGTCCTCTTAGAGATGGATGTTAGTTGAAGCAGTCAGATCAAAGAATTTACTTTTAAATTAAGTCAGTCAATTCTTAGCTTGGTAATTTTATAAGAAATTCAGTATTGTTTATATTCTATTTGAAATTAACAGTTTAAGCCTAATTGCAACTCACCCCCTTTACTTAGCTTCTTTTGAAGGAATGGACCTTTTGACACAGTATTAAATTGATAATCAGAAGATCTGAATTTTTCTAGTTCTCTTCCTTAATTAGATACACGAACTTGAGAATTCACATTCTTTGTATAAATTTGCAATTCACAACTATTACTTGAAAAAAATCATTAAGGCCTTCATATTGTGGTTCTCTGGTGCATACTAGACAAAGTAGATTCAGTAGCCAATTCTATAAAAGAGAACAGTCTATTCTTTTTTTTTATTTCAATTTTTTATTAAGGTATTATTGATATGCATTCTTATGAAGGTTTCACATGAAAAAACAATGTGGTTACTACATTTACCCGTATTATCAAGTCCCCACCCACACCCCAATGCAGTCACTGTCCATCAGTGTAGTAAGATGCTACAGATTGTCTATTTGCCTTCTCTGTGCTACAATGTTTTCCCCGTGATCCACCACACCATGTTTACTAAACATAATACCCCTCAGTCCCCTTCTCCCTCCCTCCCCACCCGCCCTCCCACACCCCTCCCCCCACACCCCTCCCCTTTGGTAACCACTAGTTCCTTCTTGGAGTCTCTGAGTCTGCTGCCATTTTGTTCCTTCAGTTTTGCTTTGTTGTTGTACTCCATAAATGAAAGAACAGTCTATTCTTAGAAGAGATTATATTTAGAAAGTTTAAGGGTTGGCAAATACTAATCAATTATTTTTTCCTTATTTTAGGATCACCAAGCACATTGTGAGTTTGCTCTCATGAATTGTCTCCAATGTCAGCATCTCTTCCAAAAATGCCAACTTAATATTCACATTCTCAAGGAGTGCCCAAGGAGACAGGTTTCTTGTATAAACTGTGCTGCATTGATGGCATTTGAAGAAAAAGAGGCATGTACTAAGTTGGATTTGTTAATTCCACTAATTCTTAAAAGACTTTTTTTAAATATACATTTGGCATGGTTAGCTGGAAATGTACATTTGAAGGGGTTAGTGGTAGATGAGGATGTTACTCCAGTTCTGAGTCTATGTTATCGGTTGTGGGAAAATTTATCTTTAAGAAAGAAAGTTCAGTAAACCATTTTAGTGAATAAATGTAGTGCTATATGTGTATATATCCTCAGAAAACATTGTTTATACTACTGACCACTATAGTAGATGCAAGTAACACAATCTAGGAAAGACATGTGCTGATCTACTTTTCTATGTGATATTTTAATGACCAATCTTGGATTAGGGACAACCAAGTAAATGATTACTGTGTAAGACAAACCTTGCTCTTTGAAAAAGATGAGTTATTAAAACATTTATAGAAATAAGTTACATCCCACAATGTGTTCCACTGGTGATAATTCATCAAGCTATACCCATACAACAAATTCACTTTTTTGTACATGTTATATTTCAGTTAAAACTTTTATCTTTGAAAAGAAAATTCCTGGTGCCTGACAGCGTCGTGATGATAAAACATTTTTATTCTTAGAAACTGAGATGTGGAAAGGTTAAGTAATTTTATATTAATATTGCCAACGACAAAACCAGCACTGAGATCCTAATCCTGGATCCCCATTCTTTGTTCTTTTTACTAAAATAATCTACCTAAAATTTATGGTTCTTTTTAAATAATGATTAAGGTACTTCCCTTAAGCTTCTTTGTTATAAATTCATATTGGTAATTTCCCCTCTTTCTTTAGAGATCAGGCATATTGTACTCATTAAGTTGATGAAATATTTTTTTAAAAGTCATCAACTTAAGGCATAATTAGAGCAAATTGTTGTCTTCCTAAGCTTCAGTAAATTAAATGGAGTTGACCTGGAAAGCTAATTATTTCCTGGCATGTCAACTAAACTAAATTCATTGTATCCTAGAAAGCAATGTCTACCCCCCTGGGGTGTATGAGAAACTGGGCACCAAAACCTTCTACCCTAATAATGCTTCTGTTCTTCACTCCTCTTGATAAGAGCTGTAATTAAATCATGCTATTGTTAGAAATTTTTGGAAGAGTGCATTTGGAGAATTACAGTATTGGTAAATGATGTCCAAGTAGTCACAGATGCTCTGGCATTAGGTTAAGTGATTTAAAATATCCTCTTTCACATACTACCGTATTCTTTTAAACAGCTAGAAGGCAGGAAGAATTTCATCACTGCACTAAGGGAGAAAAAATAATCTTGGTATATTCTCACATTTTCATTTTCACAAATTGTTGTCCTTAATTTGTCCTTAATAAAAAGATTGCTTTTTATAAAAATAGGTTGTTTTAACTTTTTCAGATTTTTCTCATGATTTTCTTCTATTTCTCTAATAAAATTTAGATCCATGATCAGACCTGTCCTTTGGCAAATGTCATCTGTGAATACTGTGATACCATGCTCATCAGAGAACAGGTATAATAATTCCCTTTCACAAATTAATATTTCTGTAAATAGATTAAAGAAGTGAGTTGGGTTTTTAATTGAAAATTTAAAATGAATATAGGTTAAAGAAGTATTAGAAATATGTGACAGTTTTTCTTATAAATTAATATAATAAATACTTATTAAAATACTCAGCTCTCTGTACTTAAAATTCCTAAATCATTAACAGAAGACCTGTGTTTGTGTATATTCATAAAAGTTCCCAACAAAACCAATTTTAAGATAATTTTAAGATAAAAATAATTTTAAAATCCTCATTTAAAGAAAAAAAATAACTTTAAGAAATACATATTACACACTGTGTGTGAAACAGATCTTAGGTGCCTAAGAGACAACAATGAAATAGAGGAAAGCAAGTTTATTCAGTAGCAAAACATTATTTGTAGCTATAGCCTCTGAGACTTTTTGGGAGATTTTGTGATTTCCAGCATCTCTAGCCCCTCTGCTTAGTTGTTGTATAGGCCACTAATGGGGCAGCATCAGAAGTAGTAATTATAAAAGAAAACTATAGATTTCTATTGTTAATACAGAAAGGAAAATTCCATCTGATCACTATCTTTTGACATTTGAGGAGTTTACCCACAAAATATAAATATTAGTCATCAAATATTTATATACCCATGAGATCTGCAAACCCAAAGATCATAACTGATACCATACAGTATGGAAGCAAGCAAAACCTGTTACCCTACTAAACTTTTCCATTTGTCTGTTAACAGAATCCTTTAATTTTTTTCCAACAAAGCTTTAGGTTGAAGGTGTTAAACTTCTTTCTGCTTATGAAGTCTCATCCCCCAGTCTTCCTTTTTGCTCTGTTTTAATATTTAAAGGAAACCATATAGTACATTTAAAACCCAGCAAAAGTAACACATAATGTGGGAAAAAACCCTGGGTTAAGAGTTAGAAAATACAGGTTTTGATTCTGGCTCTGCCACTGACTTGCCTACTGACCTCTGACAAGAAAGCTGATATTCTAGATCAGGAATCAGTAGAGTAGCCTGCTGGCCTATCTGGACTGCTGTCTGTTTTTGTTTTTGTTTTTGTTTTTTTGAGAGAGAGCATCTCTCATACTTATTGATCAAATGGTTGTTAACAACAATAAAATTCTGTATAGGGGAGTCAATGTTCAATGCACAATCATTAATCCACCCCAAGCCTAATTCTCGTCAGTCTCCAGTCTTCTGAAGCATAACGAACAAGTTCTTACATGGTGAACAAATTCCTACATAGTGAATAAGTTCTTACATGGTGAACAGTACAAGGGCATTCATCACAGAAACTTTTGGTTTTGATCACGCATTATGAACTCTAAACAATCAGGTCAAATATGAATATTTGTTTGATTTTTATACTTGATTTATATGTGGATCCC